ACACGACTGAGCGACTTCACTTTCACTTTCATGCATTGGAGAAGGAAATGGCAACCCACTCCGGTGTTCTTGCCTGGAGAATCCCAGGGACGGGGGAGCCTGGTGGGCTGCCGTCTATGGGGTCGCACAGAGTCGGACACGACTGAAGAGACTCAGCAGCAGCAGCAGCATTATCTCACAGAGATTCTGAGTCAGAAATTCAGAAACAGCTTAGTTGAGTGATTCTGGCTCAGAGCCTCTCACAAGGGTATATTCAAAGTGTAGGCAAAGACTTCAGCTGTCTCAAGACTCACCTGAGGCTGTAGAATTAACTCAGAAATTTCCTCAAGTTGTTGTTGATATGCTTTCATTCTTTGCTGGTTGTTGGCCAGAGACCACCAATCTTTGCCGTGCAGTCCTCTCCATGGGCTGCTTGAATGACCATATGACATGGCAGCTAACCTCCCTTAGAGCAAGTGAAAACACACACACAGACACACACACACGCACATATGGAATCAAGTTAAATCAAGATAGGAGTAGTAGTCTCTAGAATCAAAACCAGGTAATAATATACCACCACTTCTGCCATATTCATATTCCATTGATCACACAATCTGGGAAGAAACACAAAGATGAGAATACCAGAGTGGGGGGCTGAATGGGTAACATCTCTCTGAGGCTGGCTACTACAGTGCAACTTTGTGAGTGTTTTAATAAGGTCAGATTTATAGCTGAAAGCAAGGGAGAGGGAGGGTGGTGACCATTAATAGCAAAATGTGGTAACATGTTGAGGGGGCAGTATCAGATTAGAAATAGGCCAAAGAGGAGAAATTATTTAGTCCGAGACCTGATGAGCCCATTACCAGTTGGAGCCAGAACTGAACTCAAGCTCCACTGCTTATAGCTCAAAAGTCCAAGACACAAGGGTTGGTGGGAAAAGAAAGATGCGTTATTCAGGAAGCTGGCAACCTGGGAGGATGGCAGACTAGCATTCCCTGACTCATCTCCCAGAGAAAACAGGATTTTATAGGGAAAAACTGGGAAGTTTCAGGGTGTGCAGGTGGGTACTATGTTTAGAACTGCAGTCAGTTCTGACAATTATTTTGAAACTGACCATGCAGTGGTCTGGTCAGCAAGATCTGGCTTATTTTAATGAGTTTGTTCTCATTTCCTTGAGACCTGTTCCTGGCATTCTGCAAGCCACAGGTTTAGTACTGCTCAGGATGGAGTCATGACTACAACCTGTTAGCTTTTCCCCTCTGGTGCTGGTTTTAGTATCTGCAAAACAACTCAGAAATGTCCATCAGATATTATCTATGTCCTGCAGGGAGGAACTAGAGATTCTATAAGGGCTATCCAACCAATCTGCTGTTTAAATTGTTACTGAGTTCTCCTTGTCCAATTGCTATTTTTTGTTGTTACTATTTACTCACATTCTTTCAGTCATTAATTCATGAGCCATGATTTTATGACTCTGAGGAGACCTGGGAGACTAATGCTTTTCTCCAAACAAGAGGCAGGCAGCGGACATGGTAGGGAGGGGAGGAGTCTGTCCCAGGAAGGACCGGTAGGGTCCTGCTCAGCTACAAGCCTGAAGAAATCAGCTGCCTAATTTCTAGTTGAAATGGGAAGAAGATAGAAAAAGTGAATAACAATATGCAATATTGGCACTTTACTTAGATACATGGCACTTAGATATATCACTTGTCCTCACCAAGCTCAATCAAAATAAATCAAAGAAGAGAGGTTTGTTTAAAAGAAAAAATCAGTGAGTAAACAAGACTGAAATCAATGAAAAAATTTTTTGGCCAACTGTTTCTACTTTTATTCAAGAAAACATTATATGGTTATTATATTTATCCAAACTAGTCATACAATGCTTAGGTGAAGAGATTTCTTCTTTAATTTTTGGACTCTTTCAATGATCTACACAGACATTTGATACTGTTCCGTGTTCTCCGAGAGGGAGATTATAAGATTTCTTTGACTTTGACAGAGCATATTGGACATTGTTTTGTTCCTACTGCCTTACCTGAAATTCCCTACCTGCCTCTTTTATACTAGAGATGCTATCCAACTGTACTTTCTTTTCTTATTGGGGAATTTGAAGGAGTGCTTCCTGAATTTTTTATTACAAAAATAACTACACAAAGAAAATATAACCTATAAAGAGCTAGAAAATACCCCATGTTCTGTCTCCTAATTTATAACTTACATGATTTTCCTGAAGTAATGCCTTGTTCTACAGTGGCTTCCTAGGTTGTTTTCTAAGTTCATGTTCATAAGGAAGCATTACTACTATCAAATGGCCAAGAAACCCCCACCCTGGTTGGCAAGATGGTTCATTACTGAGCTTTTAGTAAATGACAAGCATTATGCTAAGTGATAGGTGAACATTTATATGCATGACAACCCTGCCAGGGAGGTATAATTGGTCTAATTTGCCAAGAACAGCCTTGGCTTGAAACATGGTTTGAAACTTGGCTATTATGTTGCCTAGGGCACGGTAACAGTTTGCTTGGCTATCACTCATAGCTATACATTTGAAAGAAAGGCAGTATTTCTCGCTATCATTCATTGCAAGATCGGAAGCTTTTGGAGGTCAGAGATGTTGTTAGTTTCACTCTCTCTTTCACAGCATACTAGTATATAGTAGGTGATCCACAAATGTTGGATAATTACTACAAACATCCTCTTCCCTGTCATAATGCTAATTGCATCTAGTGATGTTCTATTCAAATCTATTCAATTCAACAAACATGTATTGACAACTTCTCATTTGGCAGGCATGAAACCAGTGATAACTTGAGCTTTCTGCCCAAAGGCAAATTCTAAAATATTTCCCCATACTGAGAGTAAAAAAAGTATCAAATCCATTTGCCAGATCAGTATGAGCCAAGTTGGAATCAGCAGTGACAATGAGACCAGCTCTGAGGGTCAAGAAAGCATTGCTTTCTCTCAGCCGAGGTTTCCACTTCTGGCGTCTTTTGGTCACACTGCTTGTCCAGGCAAACATAACTAAGCCAAGGTGTAAGATTAACTAAAACCGTAACATCTGGCCAGACTCTGGTGAAATGTCTCTATTACATGTGAGTAAGTGACAGCCACTCACATGGTGAGATCTCTGATCATTTACTACTTTACTAGGCTTGTCTTTAGTAACTGGTATCCTCTCGACAGACCTTACATATGCAAACACCTGCATGCTAAGTTGCTTTAGTCATCTCTGACTGTCTGCAACACTATGGACTGTAGCCTGCCAGGCTCCTCTGTCCATGAGAGTCTCCATGCAAGACTACTGGAGTGGGTTGCCATGCCCTCCTCCAGGGAAGTTTCCCAGCCCAGCAATAGAACCCACATCTCTTATTTCTCCAATTCACAGGCAGGTTCTTCACTACTAGCACCACCTGGGAACCCCATATGCAAATAAATATTCCTAAATGATGACTCAGATTCTGGCCATGGGTTATTCTGATGATACCACTTTTTGAAAGCTCTTCTAAAATTGCTTTTAGAACCAGTTTACAAGCCACAAAGCAAAAGCAACACAGATACATCCTTTGTTACCAACCATATAAGCAAATCAATTTCCTTGTTCCACTATCATAGCTAGTTTATTTTCCTTGATGAATGTTGTCACCCATGATTCACAACCTTATTCAACCACCTTAGATAATAAATTTGGCTATTAAAAAACAACAATAACAACAACAAAACTGTTCTCAAAAGACACAGATTTTGGACATATCATTGTATGATTTTTATTTCATGGACATCTATTTACCACTTGACCCGCATAAATATAGCTGGTCCCACCAGGATAGACAGAAATGGTTAGAACTTATTCAGGCATTATACAAATAAGAAAACTATGCATAGAGTTGAGACAAAAAAAATTAGAGAAAATGAAAATTTTGTCTATTTAGCATAAGCCAGTAAACACAGAAAATCATAAACTAATGATTTTCAGAATCCATATAATGAGATCCTTAAATCCTTGACCAGTTAAGAATCTTAAGAAAAAACTCAGTCTCAGACTGGAGTTTAGAGCAGCGTGGAAATAGAAATACTTTCTCAAGGACTCAAGGAAAGATGACCCACTGCAGGTAACAGGTTAGACATGTGTCTGTATGAGGCTAATCAGTACAAAAATGTGCATTTTGTTAGAAGGGTTAGAAGGCTCCAGATGAAAATATAAGGTCAAGGTGAAACAAGTCCCCTTGGTAATGGAGTCTAACAGGAGTTGTTGCAGAAAGAATGGGATGAATTAGCAGAAGGTGCCCAGATCAAATACTTCTGGTCCTGTTCTCTCCTTCTGTGTTTGTAACTCATGTAGCCACACCACCCTATTTTCACCACTGCTTGAAACCAATATTTCTTTTCCATTCCCAGCGTCACGGCCTGTCATATCCAAACTGGATAACAGTAATCTCCTCTCCCCTAGACTACCTAGTGTGATCAGATGCTGTGATGTCTCAAATTGTTATCTGTTACAATCAGAAAAAAATACAGTTATGAACTACACTTTGCTAAGGGGAAATAAATTCCAGATCTGTTTCTTTGCCAACTGAAGAATATATGAAAGCTGGGGCCACTAGAAAGTCTTCCTTGAGAAGACTGCTGTTCAAACCTCATATATGAAGATGATAAATAATCTTAATTACAGAAAGGATAGAAACAGACATAACCCATACATCAGCGTTCACAGGGATGCTGAATCAGAGAGGGAGTAAAAAGAAGTAACATTTTGAAAATATTTATTGAAATTCTACCATTTGCATGGAAAAACATCAAAGTAAATGAAACATCATTACTACCATCAAGAAGCAGGCATCAAATTGAAAAAGAGTCCAAAGTGACACATGCTTTTACCTAATAGATAATGAAAATTTTGTAAGGAAATGTCTAGAAAAAAAGCAGAATTTTGGCTTCTTTAGTTGCCTTTCAAAATAAGGCAATAGCAACCAAAATATCAAGGGCTGTATGAATCTACTTTTGAAGAAAATTCTCTCAAGTACCTAGAATAGGTTTTACCAGAACAGGGGATGGTCTGGGGCTGGCTCTGATGTATGGCTGAAACACATGCAAGAGACAAGAAAGTGGACAGGAGGCAACCTAGAAAAACAAACAAATGAGTTAAAAAAAATAACTTTTGAAAAGGTGCTATGTGGTCACGTAAGTTTAAAAATGCAACAGACATTGATCCACCATCCTTTTGGAAATGTGATCCATACAGTAAATTAAAATCTCAAGAAATCTTAGTAAAGATATCAACAGATTTCTTGATTCAACATATTTTTCAAACAGAGCAGAATGGTTTTCCCCTTTTTCTGTCTATTTTTAACCGATGAAGCTAATCTATGTAGGGCATATATTTTGCATACAATACTCTGGCAGTTGTTAGGAGCAAAGGTTTGTTGTGAGTCAGAACAAGGGTGGGATCCCAGGCCTGCCACTTAGTAGTGGTTTGATATGAGAAAGAGTCAAAGTCTCAAGCGTTTGTTCCTTTTATTTCAAAGGGTAGAAGTAGCATCCGTTTTGATTGAGAAGGGGTGCTGAGTTCAGTTTCTGTTACAATGAACATCAATTATTACATTAATTGCATGTGAAGCACTGTTATCTGCTGCAATGCAAGAGACCTGGGTTCGATTCCTGGGTTGGGAAGATCCCCGTGAAGAAGGAAATGGCAATCCACTCCAGTATTCTTGCTTGGAAAATCTCATGGACAGAGGAACCTGGCGGGCTACAGTCCATGGGGTCGCAAGAGTCGGATACAACTTAGCGACTAAATCACCACCACCACTATTACGCTGAAAAAGTATACAAAAATCTTGGAGAAGGATGGCTCTCTAAAAATCACCTTACCTTTTTCACCTGTGTGGAGCAGTAATGAGGAAATCTGGACAATCAGAAGCAAGATACTGAGCAACCTTCTCTGAGAGTCCAGTGGTTAAGATTCGCCTCTTCCACTGTAAGAGGTGGTTGATCCCTGATCAATCCCTGATCAAGGAACTAAGATCTTTCATGGTGCATGATGGTCTTCCCTATGGCTCAATGGTAAAAGAATCTGCCTGCAATGCAGAAGATACAGGAGACTCCGGTTTGATCCCTGGGTTGGGAAGATCCCCTGGAGCAGGGATGGAAAGCTACTCTAGTATTCTTGCCTAGAAAATTCCATGGACAAAGGAGCCTGGGGGGCTACAGTCTATGGGGTTGCAAAGAGTTGAAAATGACTGAAGCGACTGAGCACACAAGCAGGCATGCACACATGATGCATGGTGTGGCAAAAAAAGAAAAAAAGGAAGCAAGTTATTGAGAAAGCAGACTCTGGGCTGCTCTAGGCCAGGAGTCTTCAACCTCCGGGATCTAATGCCTGATAATCTAAGTGGAACTAATGCAATAATAATAGAATTAAAATATACAGTAAATATAAAACACTTGAATCATCCTGAAACCACTCTTCACCCCATCTGTGAAATATTGTCTTTCATGAAAGCAGTCCATGGTGCAAAAAGTTTGGGGACCCCTGCAAATAGACTATCAGTCTCAAAGACTCCCTTACCATGCCCACTTTCTTATTTTCATGCTTCCTCCTCAGTTTTATAATATATCCCCATATAAATTCTTGCCTAAATATTTGTTAATTTTTCTCTTCTCAGCTCAAACACTTTTAAACAAATTCTCACTGTGTGCCATCCACTGTATTCACATGTACTGTGTTAGTCTCTCAGTTGTGTCCAACTCTCTGTGACTCCATGGACTGTATCCTGCCAGTCTCCTCCTCCATGGAATTCTCCAGGCAAAAATACTGGAAGGGGTAACCATTCTCTTCTTCAGGGGATCCTCCCATCCCAGGAATAGAACCCAGGTCTCCTGCATTGCAGACAGATTCTTTACCGCCTAAGCTGCCATGACTGAAGATAAAAGCAGTGCAGAATTAAACTAACTGAACCAAACCTTCCCAACTGCATGAAATCTGAACTCACTAGACTACAGTGTAGTGAACCCACCACTAGAATCAGGATCCTTGAGCCAGCCGCTGTGACATCATTCCTGAATCTTGGGAAAGCTATTTAGTGTGTGTGATTTGTAGAGGTCTCACAAGTAAAGCTATCTATGTTCACCTTTCAAATTCATCACAAATGTCAATTTCTCTCATTTTCTCTTATCAGAAAAATAGCTGACTTTTCCTGAAAAACGTGTGCCTTGATTACTGAGAAATTCTACCCCTGAGAATTCTATACTTAGATTATGAAATTATTCTCTTTTAGTCACAATTTTTAAAATCATATTCTATATCTGGTTCCCTATGATGATTATATGCATTTGTGGATGTCACGTACTATATTATTGTTTTGAGACTTTAAGGTTATGAAAAGCAGGGCAAATGATTGCTTTTCTTTGAATTTTATAGCACCTGAACTAGTGTCACACATTTTGGGGAGTCTTTAATACAGGCACAGGAAAATTTTAGCAAAATAGAGACTATCTAGAAGGGTCTTTAAAATTCAAAACATTTTGCAGTGCTTTTTTTCTATTTATCCTGCTGTAAAGTTTTTATCTCTTATTAAGGTTGAAAATCATAGAAACTTAAGGAAGACTCAATACTGTAATTCAACTTTTATTGAAGGTACCATATATGACAAAGTATATTATTATTTTTAGAAGGTATCATATATGAAAAATTGAAGTGTATTATTATTTTTAGAATATATTTAGAATATGTTAGTATTATCAAATTTTAGGTTATCTAAGAAATAATCTGTCTCTGCCATTGCCCACTATAACAAAATACAATTGTATGTTTAATTATGAATTAAAATAACTTCCATTCAGTATAATTATTCTTTTAATTGAGGTAAACAAAATTCATTAATTATTTAATTAAAGACATTTGAAGGAGTTGAAAAAATATAAGGACAATATAATCATAGTGTGAGCTCTCAGAGGCTGGCATCTCACTGTCCTTATTGAATATACACAAACTCTAGGAAGTGTCAGTGTTGATATTAAGAAATCGAACTATCAGAAAAATATTATATTTCTGAATTTCTCCTTCATAAAAAAATCATTGTTATATATCATAAAAATTAAGATGCATTATAATAACATAACCAAATATCCCCTGCAAGAAAGGAGACATTTAAGAACCAAATCAAACTGCTTCTTTTACAGATAAAATCTGGAGAGGCTGCCCAAGACCCCTGGTAGCTGGTGGACTTGGAATTGGAATCACTGTCTCTTGTTTTCATAAGCTATATGGTATATTTCATTGTAGCCTTTGATTTATAGCCCTTTGCCTTTAAGCTTTCCACCCATGGGTGTATCTGTTCAACTCCTGAAATATTTTAGGTCATACAGTTCCCAACGCTTCAGGTTTCCATTTACACAGCTATTAAAAAGTAGCATATTTTTCATTCAGCATTCCCCATTGGTAGAACTCATAATGCTTCCCATTTAAATACAAACTCTGTAATAGCCAAAATACTTATTAAAAGAAAAACCACTTTCCACTCCAGTGTGATATTATATTCATACATTGAGGGTTTTCTCCTCAGGCAAAAAGAGTTAACAGTTCTGATAGAGAGAATGCAATTTAAAGACCATTTAAAGTGATTTACCTTTTTTTAATATTCAGTTTAAATATGAAGGGGAAAAAAGTCATTCCTGAAAACTAGTTATTTTAATTAGGGCAAATTGAAAATTTTGTTCCAGCTATTAGCAGAGAAGTTCATGTAAATTGGCAATAAAGTCTAAAAACTTTGTTCACAAAATGTAATATGTCACTGTACAGTAGCCTAGAAAAAGGGCTAAATTTACTAAAACAATCTCTCTCTCCCTCTTTCTCTATTTCTCTTTCTTTCTGTGTCCTTATATGTCTCTCTCTCCATCTGTCTCTTTTTCTTGGCTACTTTATCAGCTGTTGTGAGCTGATTCTGTACATGAGGTGTGCATGAAATGATGTTCTTTGGTTTTGCAATGAAATGAATTCCCTCGGTGACTTTCAACAGAGTACTGTAGATTGGCAGCTTGCCATCTGGAAAAACTGACAGTGGGCTCCCTTGGGCCCAAAGCACAGCGCTACTGTGAGATAGCATTAGTCGCTGAAGAAAATGGACACGGGAAGCTCAAACTACTTGACACAAATAAAATGGTGCAGCTAGTCGGCTTTTAAAGTAGAAGAAGGAGAAAGAAAAACAGGAACCATGGACCTTACAAAGGAGTTTTTTTCAATGTCTTTTCTCAAAAAAATTGTTTAGAATTCAAGAGACTAATTTTTATTAGGTTGCTTAATGGAACAGAGTACATAGTTTGCTAACGTGGAGTAACCGAAACTGATCAGTATGGATATGTGCGCGTGCACGTGTGTGCTCAGTCACTTCGTGTGTCAAACTTTTTGCAACCCCATGAACTGCAGCGCAGGCTCCTCTGTCCATGGGATTTCCCAGGCAAGAATACCGAAGTGGGTTGCCATTTCCTACTCCCAGGTATCTTCCCAATCCAGGGATCAAATTGGAGTCTCTTGAGTCTCTTGCATTACCAGGCAGATTTTTAACTACTGCACCACCTGGGAAGCCCTCAGTGTAGCTACAATACAGTTCAGTCATATGAAGAACTGTGAGTAGTTTACTGCTTGTTTCTGCCATGAGAGGTGTATTATAGGCACTACTTAAATTTTGATTTGTTGATTGATATACCTTATAAAATGTCCTTTTTTGCTAATATTTTCAAGCATTTAATTTTTCATTTTCCTCAAAAATAGAAATATAACATTTACATATTTTAAAAATCATCTTTAGTAACAATTTTCCTGTATCTAAAATATTTGATAAATCCATTACTTGCTTAAAGAAACAAAGTAAGCTATTTGATAATCAAAGTAAAATTTTGGCAAAGTACTACAGTGTTTACACTGAAGTGCTTTTGCCTAGGTACTTTCATTCAAAGTTTGCTTTGGAGAGATCACAACACACAACACTGAAATATAAAGGATCATAAGAGACTACTACCAGCAGCTCTATGCCAATAAAATGGACAACTTGGAAGAAATGGACAAGTTCTTAGAGAAGTATAACTTTCCAAAACTGAACCAGGAAGAAATAGAAGATCTTAAC